TCAGCTCAGGTCATGATCTCACAGTTTATGAGTTCGAGCCCTGCATCGGGCTCTTTGCTAACAGCTTGGAGCCTGGAGCCTGCTTTGGCTTCTGTGTCTCCCTCTCTCTCTGTGCACCGCCCCCCTCTCGAAAATTAGTAAACAGTTAAAAAAACAAAAAACAAAAAAAGACTCATTGATTTCAATTGGATCACGTACCGAAGTAGAAATTGAGAGTGAAGTTAAAATGGGAGGCACAAATTTCCTAAAATCTTACATTTTCTCTATTATTAAATCAGAACTCCCAATTATGTCCAACTATACCAGAATTATAAGTGTAGTCTTGCCCATAGGTTCCCATAACATTCATTCTTTGAAACTAGTCAAATTTTTATTTAAAACCATTGAGAAAGGATCTTAAAATAAATTTTTATTGCAAAAAAGTTATTTGCATTCAAGTAAAAGTAACAGATAACATGAGTAGTCACCTTCTTATGACAAATAAGATGGAGCAGGACCCTCACAAAAAGTTTTGTCTATACTCTTTTCTCCATCTGAAGAAAGTGCCAGTCCCTAACTGTCCAGATGGATTTTCTGCATCATTTCACATACTTTTCCCAGAAACAGTCACCCAAACAAAACAAAACAAAACAAAACAAAACAAAACAAAACAAAACATGCCCCCTGATGCTTATGTTCAAATTTTACCTGAAGCACATTTTTACAGCCAATTTTCAAATTCCTAAAATCAAATGGAAATACTGATATGACCACAGATGGAAACTCTAACTTGACTAATACAAGTATTTTGTAAGGGTCAGTTTTAGCACATAATCTACACAAATATCTCCTGGCCTTAAGTCATTATTCGTAACTCAGATTCATATTATCTACATTTAAAAGCGTTATTTCCACTCTTATGGAGTTAATCAGTCTTTAGCATTAACTTGCTTTCAGGAAGGTCCTTATTTGGGGCTCTTACTAAGAAATTACAAGTTGATACATAAATGTTGGTGGTGTTTAGATATTTTCCATATTCGGCTCAGAATTTATTTCCTAATCTTCCATTCTCAAATATTTATTCTAATAAAAGGGACAAGGTAAATTGTAAAATACAACACCAGAAGTGACCTTTTGTATCTAGCTAGGGGAGAGTAGCTGATTAGCTTTGAGTAAAGACACACTGACTTTACAATGTCTGGCCTAATCTCCTTCTGAGCCAGGCTATTTTGGGTATCCAGGTACTTGGCCAATTGTATAACATGAAGACTCCACCTTACCAAAATAATTTACTAACAGAACACCAAGATACATCTTAATATAAAATAATATACCACCAAGGAAGGATCCCAAACACAATGAACTTTTTTTTTTTTTTTAAACATTTAATTTGACTGACTTCATTTGGAGGTTTATTTTTATTAATTTGACTGAAACCATTTTGAAGGTTTGTTCCACTTCAGGTCACAAAGAAGTCAACCTACCTCATTAGCCATGTCACTCTGTACAGCCACTGAGACATTAGAGATCTGTGTGACTGTCACATTACAAAGCAACTGAATCACAATTCCTATTATTTTCCCATGATATACTTCTGATGTGTTTTTTAATGTGTTTAATATATCAGAAAACTCCCCATAAGATTTATAAAGGCACCAAAATCTATTCAAAGATATTATCCATATAAACATTTTACAGATCCTGAAAAGATTTTCCAAAGTGCTCATATGGTTGTCTGAAGCCTAATCTTGAATAACTACATGCCTTTCAAGGAAACATGGGAAGCAAGTCTTTGGAAGCATTCTTAGAAACAATAAGGTAAATTGCCAACTGGAACTAATTGATTAAATTCACTAGTTAACACTGCTTTCAAAATGTTAAATATCTGGGAACTGAATATTATTCATCCTTTTTTAGATTTGCTTTTCTTCAGCCTGGCCAACATTGCCCTAGAACTATCAAATAAGAATAGATAGTGGAAATGAGGAAGAAAAAAATGTATGTACTTTACATAGCTAGACTTTTTTTTTTATTAGAACTCATCTGATAATATCTTTTGTGAAGCAAAGAAATACAGACACCAAGGGCCCCTGTAAATGATCTTTTACAGAAATAAATGGTTATGGGCAATATTGATGAGGCTCTCCTTACACCAGAGCACCAACTTTGAGCTGTGAAATATGAGAAAGCATTCCACATCAGCCAATAAAATATCTCCTACCTCCTTCCCAAGTATTACAGACCTCAAATTTATTTTATACTCCAAGTTCATGGAAGGTAGGAAACAAATATATTTAAAGCACACCCTATGAAAAGAAAGTTCTATAATGAACTATCAACACATACAAAAAAGAGTTCTGTGTAACAAAGCTATTTCCATGTCCCCAGGGGGTGACCCAGAAAAAAAGAGTGCTTTGACCTGGTTATAACAAATTCTCTCTCTCTTGGTAACCTATCCTGGTCTTTAACAAATTATCACTCTCAAAGGTTTTCCTTCTATCAAATCTAAATCCTCACTGTTAGAAGTTCAAGTTCATTTCCTTCTTTTGAGGAGCCAATTACTGAAGATGGGTCAAGAAGCAAAAATTAATGCCAGCATTCAAGAGAAATGACAATATGAAACTTGTTTTATTACAAAATTCTTAAAAATAGCTCTCATATGAAAGGCTTAAAAACAGCAAGTTATATTTGGATAAGAGATTTCTACTTATCTAAACAGCAATCCAATGTCAATTTAAAACTGAAATAAAGCATTATCACTATTTGGAGCCACTGGTAATGAAGGAAATACTTAGCACTTAGATTTGACATATTAAAATGTCATAAAAAGTTGTACCTCTACTGTACTCCTAGGATGTGCTTGAAAAAACCTGCAAAGCAAACTGGATATTATATAAATTCCAAGCAGAAGGTGGGCCTATTTATCCATATCATGAATCAGGCCCAACTCTCCCTGTATTTGTTTTGTCTAAATGTTGTGGCTATCAGTGACTTTTGATAGTCCCCTGTGATGCAATAGGCTGCCGTTACCTTCCCTTAAAAAAACCTTAAAACCAGGGATTCAAAGCTCAAAAAAAATCCACATTTCCAAGGACTTCTCAAAGGCAATGAGAAAGGCGTGACGATGTTGATTATTTGTTCTTACAACATTTTTTAAAACTTTCCTTCATGTAATTCCATTGCTCACTTTTAACCCTGTTTCCTATTTCTCTCTATTTGGGTCTACTGACACCCTATTCCTCACCAAGAGAGATTCATTTTTTATCCCTGATCTCTCCCTGCCTTTTTTCTCTTTAGCCAGCGGGCTCCCACTCAGTTTTACTGACAGGTTCTTAACAGTAAAAGGCCGCGGAGTGGGAAAATGCAGAGCAACGGAGACAGCTCATACTCTACACCTCTCAAAATACAGTTGCGTGGATTATCCCTATTTGAAGCAAATACACTTACAAAGGAAAGACTGGTAAAGATGTGCAAAAGCACAGACGTAACTTCTCACACAACACAATCATGTGTATGTTTTGGTACTTTTCACAGAAATTCTTTCACGTGAACCAAGGTTAAAAACCTATAAATAGAATTCACCCTCAAATGGAACCACCTCTACATTCTTCTGCCAGAGGTAAAACACATTTACAAAAGAAATACAGCATTTGAAAGATGCTTGTATATGCACCAAATAGAAGACCCAATATTCAAGCCATATTAAAAATAAGTCCAAATTCACTGCAAATTATACTCATCAGTTTCTTAATATTTTTAAAAAGTAAGCTCAAAAGGGCCTTAGAACTGAAGCAGAAGGGCCTTAGAGCTGAAGAGTATGATGAAAGTCACTATTAAACACGCCAAGATATAAACTAATAGCTCGTGAAGTCTTTACACACAAAGGTATCAAACACTGCCTGGGAGTAATACTTAATTTTATCAGTACAACTCCCTCTGAAAATAAATATGGATATTCCATATATATCATTGGCTTCATCCTATAATGCTGTGCTTTAGAGAAGTAAGCCTAGTTTCTCAAATCAAATCTTCATAACTTTAGTAGTAGAAGCCTTAAAATCATTTTGTTAGGATTGATGATGTGCCAGTGTAGGGCATGGTGGGGGGTGGGGGGGCATTCAATAAGCAACTACAGAGACTCAGCTTTTATCAACACATATGAGTCAATGCTGAACCTGGTGCGCTATTGCAGAGTGCAATTGAGTGTTTTCCCCACAGGCTGTAACTGATTATTGACTCCTCCCATTAGCATGCAGGGTGCATATTGAAGGTTCAAATAGAAGACTGAGGGGCTCCTATCCCAAGGCCAGTGCAGAAAGACAGCCTATCACTTCGTGTAACCGCAGTCTATGTGTGACAAACCTGACCTACATTTCTCCCTTTCTTTCTCACAAGAGCTTGTCACTGTTTTAGGAAGCTATTTTCTAAAATGCATAAAAGAAATGACTTACAACTGCTTAGGAAGTGTGCATTCCTAAAATGCCATTTATAGCAATCTTATAAAGAATAGTTTATCCAGGAGACAATCATGAAACTAGCCTAAAACAAACTCAAAGACAGCAGAGTGCTTTATGATGTTATCCCATATAGTACCTTTCTTTAGGCTGTCATTTATACAGTATACATTGTTAAAAGTACTACAGTTAAAACTGTAATCAGTACAGAATTAAATATAATAAAAAGAAGTTATTAAACATAGAAAACCTATTAATTAGAAATGTATAATTAAGCACTTTTCATTAGTTAGGGAAGTAGCTTTCGTGGCTTCGTAAGAAGCCACATCCCGTAGTAGTCTTGTTAATTTCTCAATGGATACACAGTCATCACTACTAAGAGTAGGACATAATTGAAAATCGTGATTCATCACTACTAAGAGTAGGACTTAATTGAAAATCGTGATGGTGGGGTAGGAGTAAAGAAGGCAATAACTCCGCCAAATGCTGGAGATGGCTCCCCAGGAATGGCCGTGGATTATGCCTCAGGGCGTCAGTGTGCTGTGGCCCCTCAGCACAAATACCTACCCTGCCGCTGCAGGTCATACTCTTTTTTTGTCTCTTCATTCCCTAGAATTTTCCATGCCTGATCAATTTCGATGAACTTCTGTATACATTCCTCCACTGTTCCTGCTGGCACATCTGCACTTTGTTTATCTGGATGATACTGCCAATCAAAAATAAGAGGGGGGTGATGAGTAAAGAGGGTGACATGAGTAGGTAAAAAGAAAAAACAAAAACAAAACAAAACAAACTTGTAAATCTAAGTTTCAGTTAAGAAAGAAGGTAATGGGAAGATGAAAACTAAGATGCCAAGGCAACGAGACAACAGTGTTGGGCACAGGAGACAACTGCCAGGTTAATTAGACCACTGGAGTAGCTATAAATTCACCAGTGACATGATCTGTCACAACATGCAAAGACAGCACTTTCTGGATAATTTGCTGATGGAATCACTGGTCTCATGGACAATTTACCTAGAGAGGATGACTAACACAAACAGAAATAGGTACGTGCAGATAAGCAGGACCTGACGGCACAAACTATGCAGAGTCTGAAGCTTTCCTTATACAATGTGCTTGGCCATGGAGATCACTGCAAATGAACTACTAGCTTTTTCTTATAAAATCTTATGATTATACAGTCATAGTTGAAAATAAATATCTTGCATCTTCCAGCTCAGCCCTAAAGATTTTAAAGTTATAAATCTCCAAACATAAACTTTTATTGAAAAACGGTTATTCTAGGGCAGATTGGTAAGAAACAACTTTAAAGAACTCACCAAAACATTTGAATGTAAATGAATTCATTAGTAAATCTTTCTCACGTGTGTTTTCTAAATCTAAGAAATGTTTAAAAAGGTTTCAATATGCAGTAATTTCTTTAAAGTATTTGGTCAAAAAAGAAAGTTTTATGCCAATTCATCAATTCTCAAATGCGAATATAAATTTGGCTTACTGGATACTTACATTATCTCCTCTTTTTCCCTACATTCTTGGTGGTTCTCCCTTCTCTTTATCTATCAGTTCTGAAAGAATCAATATGTCATTTGCAGTTCAGTAGCCTTTCAACAAATAAGTGAGGAAAGGTTATCTAGATGTAGAGACAGGTCACTTAAATAATGTGGGGATAACAGTAGCAGATACTCAAATATGTAATTTTTTTCATTCTCAAGTAAACAAAGAACCACTTGATAGTTTTCATCCAGAATTTTCCACCAGCAATTACTCTGAATGCTTTATCAAATACATTACAAAACATATTTTAATTTTAAAAGTTACCTTAGTAATTACCTTTGAACTAGAAGACTAGTTTTTCCCCTTTGATACTTATTCTTTTTCTTCAAAATGTTTATAATAAAACAGGCAAGTCACCAGATTTACATTTCATGACATTAATATGGTTAGTTTGACATACCTGTCAATTAATAATGGCACAGTCACTAAAATTCTTTCACTGACTAGAGACAGTGAAACACAAAAAATTTATAGGTACAATGTCATGTATTACCCAAGTTGCTAAGGCCAAAGTCACTCAATGAATTGTGGCAAGTAAAATGAAGTAAAGTGACTTCAATCCTCAATCCAGAATTCACAAAGTATTTTAATCATAATGTAGACTAGTGGTTTTGACAGTGAATTTGTTTTCATGCTGAACTTTTTCATACTGCTGATGATCCTCACTAGCAGAGCAAAAGCTATTGTGATATCTGGTTACACAGAAAAACATCATGCACGCTGAGAGAAAGATTATAGGGCAAACAGAGAATGAGGCTTCCATTTTCCCACTGGCAAACTATTTCTCTTCCTATACCAAATCTAACAGTTATCAACATTTAAATGTTTAAGTTCATTAATATAATGACTAAAGAAAGGAAAACTAAAGCTTTACTGTTTTATCTTTTTATGGCCATGATTTACCAAATAATGTTCATAAAAGTCATTCCCATACTGAGGTTCAGGCAGTCCCTACAGTTAGGCTATTTAAGTAATATCCAAAACCCAAAACAACGTTTGTTACAATTAAAAGTTCTCTAGCTGACCTATTCCTCTACCACTGTGTGAAGATTTGTGCAAGAAGCCTTACCGAGAAAGCCCTACAAAATCAAGAATTAGTTCCTGGCTACCCAAAACTAAAAGCTACCACTAAATTTTATTGAGTCTTATATCAGGTCTATGATATGATAGTCAAAGCATAATTCAATTTCTTACTAACTCAGTATTTTTCCTCACTGCTATTATAAATTAGCAAGTCACCATCTGAGGCTTTTAGGTCTAATCTTTGTGGTATGAGAATGCAGTAAATTTTATTCCATGATACAGAGTACAATTTAAAAATGGTACTTATTAGCAAGAAGATAAGTATGTCATTTAAGGTGCTAAATATATATATATATATATATATATATATATAT